TGTTGGAAGTCATCAGGTTTTGATGGCATCAACTAGGTAGTAGAATCCTATGTTGAAAAGTCATCAGTGTATGCTGGCGTCAGCTAGCGAGTGTGACCCTATGTTGGAAAGTCATCAGGTTATGCTGGCATCAACTAGAGAGTGGAACCCTATGTTTGAAAGTCATCGGTTATGCTACATCAACTGGGAGTGGACCCTATGAAACAGGTTATGATGGCATAGACTAGGGAGCGAGACCCTATGTTGGAAAGTCGTCAGGTTATGCTGGCATCAACTAGGTAGTGGGACCCTAAGTTGGAAAGTCATTAAGTTATGCTCGCCTCAACTAGGGAGAAAGTCATTAGATAATCAACTAGCGAGCGGTGATCTTCTGTTGGAAAATCATCAGGTTATGCTGGCATCACTGGCATCAACTAGAGAGTGGGACCCTATGTTGGAATGTCATCTTGGAAGGTCATCGGGTTATGCTGGCATTAACTATGGAGCAGGACCCTATGTTTAAAAGTCATTCAGTTATGCTTGTATCATGTTATTGTGGCATCAACTAGGGAGTGAGACCCTGTGTTGGAAAGTCATTAGGTTATGCTGGCATGAACAAGGAATTGGGACCCTATGTTGGAAAGTCGTCAAACTTGCATCAACTAGGGAGCGGGACCCTATGCTGGAAAGTCATCGGGTTATGATGGCATGAACTAGGTAGTGGGACCCTATGCTGGAATGTCATCAGGTTATGCTCGCATCAACTAGGGAATGGGACCCTATGTTGGAAAGTCATTAGGTTATGCTGGCATCAACTAGCGAGCGGTGACCTTATGATGCCCTATGTTGGGTAGTCATCAGGTTATGCTGCCATCAGGAGTGGGACCCTATGTTGGGAAGTCAACAGGTTATGCTGGCATCAACTAGGGAGCAAGACCCTATGTTGGAAAGTCATCAGGTTATGCTGGCATCAACTAGGTAGTGGGACCCTATGTTAGAAAGTCATCAGGTTATGCTCGCATCAACTACGGAGTAGGACCCTATGTTGGAAAGTCATTAGGTTATGCTGGCATCAACTAGCCAGTGGTGACCTTATGTTGGAAAATCATCAGGTTATGTTGGCATCAACTATGGAGTGGGACCCTATGTTGGAATGTCATCAGGTTATGCTGGCATCAACTAGGGAATGTGACCCTATTATGCTTGCATTAACTAGGGAGTGGTGACCTTATGTTGGAAAATCATCAGGTTATGCTGGCATAACAACTAGGGAGTGAGACCCTATGTTGGGAAGTCATCAGGTTAAAGTTATCATGTTATGCTGGCATCAACTAGGGAGTGAGACCCTGTGTTGGAAAGTCATTAGGTTATGCTGGCATGAACTAGGAAGTGGGACTCTATGTTGGAAAGTCATCAAACTTGCATCAACTAGGAAGTGGTGACCCTATGTTTGAAAGTCATCAGGTTATGCTTGCATTAACTAGGGAGTAGAACCCTATATTGGAAAATCATCAGATTGTGCTCCCATCAACTAGGGAGTGTGACCCTACATTGGATTGTCATCCGGTTATGATGGCATCAACTAGGGAGTAGGACCCTATGTTGGAACGTCATCAGGTTATGCTGGCATCAACTAGGGAGTGAGACCCTATGTTGGAATGTCATCAGATTGTGCTCCCATCAACGAGGGAGTGTGACCCTACATTGGATTGTCATCAGGTTATGCTGGCATCAACTAGGGAGTAGAACCCTATGTTGAAAAGTAATCAGTTTATGCTGGCATCAACTAGCGAGTGTGACCCTATGTTGGAAAGTCATCAGGTTATGCTGGCATCAACTAGAGAGTGGAACCCTATGTTGGAAAGTCATCAGGTTATGCTAACATCAACTAGGGAGTGGGAACCTAGGTTGGAAAGTCATCAGGTTATGCTCGCATCAACTAGGGAATGTGACACTATGTTGGGAAGTCATCAGGTTATGCTGGCATCAACTAGGGAGTAGAACCCTATGTTGAAAAGTCATAAGTTTATGCTGGCATCAACTAGCGAGTGTGATCCTATGTTGGAAAGTCATCAGGTTATGCTAGAATCAACTAGAGAGTGGAACCCTATGTTTGAAAGTCATCAGGTTATGCTAACATCAACTAGGGAGTGGGACCCTATGCCGGAAAGTCATCAGGTTATGCTTGGATCAATTAGGGAGTGGTGACCCTATGTTTCAAAATCATTAGGTTATGCTAACATCAATTAGGAAGTGGGACCCTATGTTGGGAAGTCAACAGGTTATGCTGGCATCAACTAGGGAGTGGGACCCTATGTTGGAAAGTCATCAGGTTATGCTCGCATCAACTAGGGAGTGTGACTCTACGTTGGAAAGTCATTAGGTTATGCTTGCATCAACTAAGTAGAGGGACCCTACGTTGGAAAGTCATCAAGTTATGCTCGCATTAACTAGGGAGTGTGAGCCAATGTTGGAAAGTAATTAGGTTTTGCTGGCATCAACTAGCGATCGGTGACCTTATGTTGGAAAATCATCAGGTTACGCTGGAATCAACTAGGGAGTGGGACCCTATGTTGGAAAGTCATCAGGTTATGCTTGCATCAACTAGGGAGTGGTGACCCTATGTTGCAAAATCATCAGGTTATGCTGGCATCAACTAGGGAGCGGAACCCTATGTTGAAAAGTCATCAGGTTATGCTGGCATCAACTAGGGAGTGGACCCTAGGTTGGGAAGTCATCAGGTTATGGTGGCATCAACTAGGGAGTGTGACCCTCTGTTGGAAAGTCATCAGGTTATGCTTGCATTAACTAGGGAGCGGGACCCTATGTTGGAAAGTCATCGGGTTATGCTTGCATCAACTAGGGAGTGGTGACCCTATGTTGCAAAATCATCAGGTTATGCTGACATCAATTAGGGAGTGGGATCTTATGTTGGGAATACAACAGGTTATGATGGCATCAACTAGGGAGCGAGACCCTATGTTTGAAAGTCGTCAGGTTATGCTGGCATCAACTAGGTAGTGGGATCCTAAGTTGGAAAGTCATCAGGTTATGCTCGCATCAACTAGGGAGTGGAAACCTATGTGAGAAAGTCATTAGGTAATCAACTAATGAGCGCTGACCTTATGTTGGAAAATCATCAGGTTATGCTGGCATCAACTAGGGAGTGGGACCCTATGTTGGAAAGTCATCAAGTTATGCTTGCATCAACTAGGGAGTGGGACCCTATGTTGGAAAGTCATCAGGTTATGCTCGCATCAACTAGGGAGTGTGACACTATGTTGAAAGTCATCAGGTTATGCTGGCATCAACTAGGGAGTAGGACCCTATGTTGAAAAGTCATTCGGTTATGCTTGTATCAACTAGGGAGTGGGACCCTATGTTGGAAAGTCATCAGGTTATGCTCGCATCAACTAGGGAGTGTGACACTATGTTGAAAGTCATCAGGTTATGCTGGCATCAACTAGGGAGTAGAACCCTATGTTGAAAAGTCATCAGTTTATGCTGGCATCAACTAGCGAGTGTGACCCTATGTTGGAAAGTCATCAGGTTATGCTGGCATCAACTAGAGAGTGGAACCCTACGTTTGAAAGTCATCAGGTTACGCTAACAACAACTAGGGAGTGGGACCCTATGTCGGAAAGTCATCAGGTTATGCTTGCATCAACTAGGGAGTGGTGACTTTATGTTGCAAAATCATCAGGTTATGCTAACATTAATTAGAGAGTGGGACCCTATGTTGGGAAGTCAATAGGTTATGCTAGCATCAACTAGGGTGCGAGACCCTATGTTGGAAAGTCATCAGGTTATGCTGGCATCAACTAAGTAGAGGGACCCTATGATGGAAAGTCATCAAGTTATGCTCGCATCAACTAGGGAGTGGGAACCAATGTTGGAAAGTAATTAGGTTATGCTGGCATCAACTAACGTTCTTATTGGAGATGCCCTGTCCTGGTACATAAGCCAGAACCCTAAGAAGTGGGCCAATTGAGTGAGTATGGCATCAGAATTTATGGACCGGTTCAGGTTCAACACAGAGAATGCACCGGATGTCTTCTACATCCTAAATTTAAAGAAGAAGCCAACTGAGACTTTCCGTAAGTATGCTACCCAGTGGAGGTCAGAAGCAGCCAAGGTCAGACCAGCACTAGAAGAAGAACAAATGAACAAGTTCTTTGTCAGGGCACAGGACCCACAGTATTATGAAAGGCTCATGGTCATCAAGAATCACAAATTCTCTGATATCATCAAACTCGGGGAAAGTATTGAGGAAGGTATCAAAAGCGAAATTGTGACAAATTTCGAGTCATTCCAGGCCACGAACAAAGATTGCAATCAGGCAGCATATCAAAAAAGAGAGACGTGGGGGCAGTACTGGTGGCTCAAGGCCCAAAATCTCCACTTACATACCAAACACCTGCACTCAAATACCAAACACCTCCACCCACATACCAAACACCCCCACCCATATACCAAACACCTCCACCCATATACCAACCCTATCTCCCAGATATTCCCAACCAGCCACTGCCTATCACACCTATAACTCCCAACCATCTCATTTTCAGTCACCTCCGACTCGCCAAAACTACCCAAGACCCCGACCTAACTTTGATCGCAAACCACCCAGACAATACACCGTTATTGCTGAACCTATCGACCAGCTGTATGAAAAGCTGAAACCCTGGTTATGCCACTCCCGTCCCTATTATGGCCACGGAGAACTCATCCCAATGGATTAACCTAAATAAGACTTGTGCATAACATTCCGATATGAAGGGGCACCCATTGACGAGTGCCAAATATTGAAATATAAAATCCAGACATTGATTGACAACAGGGTCATACAGGCCAAGGAAGCTACACCCAACATCCGCAACAATCCTCTCCTAGATCATAGGGGCGGTGGGATACATGTGATAGAGACGGATGAGGAATAGGATCCTGAGGGTTCAATTGGGTTTATTTGGGAAGGCGATGACTATAAACCTGCAGTCACACTCACTCCTATTGTAGTACAGACGCAGTCGCCAGTCGAGGTTGAGGTAGCCGCATCGGTTCCATTTGAGGTAGAGGTATCTCCACTTGCAGCCACACATGTTCCATTTGAGGTAGAAGTGGCCACAGCTTTCACAGTGATAGTATCAACCACACCTCCTTTTGATTCCAAAGCCATACCTTGGGATTACGTTGCCGAAGCTAGGCAAAAAGTAAAGGTAAAGATGGAAGAATCTGATGTCGCACAAGGGATGACCAGAACGGGAAGGATCTATACACCCGACCACTTGGGAGGATCGAGCAAGGAGGCTTCAACTAAGAAACCCATCATTGAAACTGGACCAGATGACCTTTAGAGGAAAGTACAGGCAAAAGAATCTACCATCGATCATTTGAACAAAAACCCTGCCCAAATCTCCATCCTGTCACTATTACAAAATTCAGAGGCGCACAAGAATGCTTTGATGAAGGTGTTGAATGAAGCTTATGTGCCTAACAATATCACGTGCGGAGAAATGGCCAACATGGTAGGGAAGGTACTGGAAAGTCATAAGATTACTTTCCACGAGGATGAATTACCGCCTGAAGGGTTGAATCATAACCGAGCATTGCATGTCACAGTACAATTTGAAGACAAATTCATTTCCAGAGTCCTGATTGATGGAGGTTCAAGCCTCAATATTTTTTCGTTGGATACTCTAAAAAGATTGGACAAAGGTTTCCATGAGATACGGGCAGGAAGTATGAACGTGAAAGCCTTTTATGGGTCTCAAAGGGCCACATTAATCTTTGTCTTCAAATAGGACCAACTTGGTTCGACGTTGAATTCCAAGTGCTGGACATATCAGCTTCATAAAATCTTCTATTGGTTCGACCTTGGATACATGCCGTAGGGGTTGTGGCTTCCACACTACACCAGGCCGTGAAATTCGAATGGAACCATCATGAGGTGATCATTCACGGAGATGGAATCAATCCTATCTACACCAGTCAAACCATCCCGGTTATCGAGAACAGAAGAAGGCTGGGAGGGGAAACTTATCACCACATTGAACATATCAACGCAGTTGAGAAGGATAAATGGTGGAGTAAGAAAATAGAAAGCATACTGGCATGGACAACCCGACAAAGGGCTTGGGAAGAACCTCCAAAACATTACTAAACCAATACAACTTAAACGTCATGGTACAACATTTGGGCTCGGATACCAATATACATGGCAAGAGTATGATGATTGGTTGCCTCCATGGCGTGGTCCTTATTACCATCTAGAGCAACCAGTGCCGCATCTGAGTCAAACTTTTCACTAGGCTGATACAATATGGGGAATTGCAGAGGAAGAAACCTTAGCTGGGTTGAGGACTTTGTTTCAAGAGGACGAGGATATGGAATGCAGTGCGATAATTGAGGAGGAGGGAGAAGAAGGCCTCACTATTCGGACTGTGGAGAAGGGAGCCATTCTCAGGAATTGGACTGTCACACCATCCCGGGCCCGCCGAGTCCCTAGGTAGCCTGGCGTTTAGCCTAAATTTATTTTTATAGCCACGCTAGGCATTTCAAATTTAAATCAATGCATTGCTATCTAGTATTCATTATTATCTTTCACATTCTTTTTCTACAGCGTTATTATTACTTTTCCTTATGAACCGATGACTGTGACATGTAATGAGACAATGCAACACAAAAATAGTGACTCGGAGGAAGAAGATGAAATACCTGAGGAAGTTTTCAGAGAGGTTGAGAACCTTGAGAATAAGCCTAAGTCCAACCTGGATAAAACCGAAGTAGTGAATTTGGGAGACGCCTAAACCATCAAGGAGACTCGCATAAGCATTCACTTATCACCGACAGAAAAGGAGGAGTACATTCGTTTCCTGAAGGAATATGAGGATATCTTTGCATGTTCATACAATGACATGACTGGTCTGAGCACATCCATAAGGGCTCATAAGTTGCCTACCAATCCAATGTGTCCGCCGGTGAAGCAGAAACTCAGAAAGTTCAAACCAGACATGAGTCTGAAAATTAAGGAGGAAGTCACTAAGCAGATGGGTAGTTGAGTACCCAACCTGGTTAGCCAACATTGTACCGTTCCGAAGAAAGATGGGAAAGTCAGGGTGTGTGTTGACTATCGGGATTTAATTAGAGCAAGTCCTAAGGACGATTTCCCACTACCAAATATACACATCCTGATCGAAAATTACGCCAAGCATGAACTCCAATCCTTTGTAGATTGCTTCGCGGGTTATCACCAGATCTGGATGGATGAACAAGACGCATAGAAAATAGCTTTTATTACACCATGGGGGATGTACTGCTACAAGATGATGCCATTTGGTCTAAAGAATGCTGGGGCTACTTACATGAGAGCCATGACAAACAACTTCCATGATATGATACACAAAGAAATAGAGGTGTATGTTGACGACGTCATTATCAAATCCAAGAGGGCCGCAGATCACATAGCAGACTTGAGAAAGTTCTTTGACAAGTTAAGGAGGTACAGCTTAAAATTGAACCCTGCAAATTGTTCATTCGGGGTTCCCGCAGGAAAGTTATTCGGGGTTCCAATTAAAGGACAATCGAAACGGGATTTATTTATTAAAGATTCAGAGTCGCCACTTGGGAGATTAATGGTGTCCCAAGTCACCGGTTGAATCCCGAATCGAGGAAAATATGACTCTGTTAACAGTCCGAGTAAGGAATTCTATTAACCCGGGAGAAGGTGTTGGTTCTAGAATGGTCGCTCAACTGTCGTATTTGGCTAAATATCTGATTATAGTACATGTTTCTATCTTTGAACCGCTTTTATTATTATTTTTTAAAGAGAATTGCAACGTCGTGAAAATAGGTCTCGAACCACGTCACATAAATGCACCCGTGGTTTTTGACACATTTCGACTTCGTTGGGATTTGGATTTGAGTCACATAAATGTGCACCCGAGTTTAAGAAAGTAATATTATTAAATGCCGGGCCTAAAGTAACTAACGTATTATTAACTTTATGGGAGGCCATGAAATTCGCTAAGTGGCACGCCCGAACTCTAAATATTTTAATATAAGCATTTAATGAGAGCCCCGCAATTTACGCATTTTGTTTGGCGAGGCTCGTCTCATCTTTTATTTAAAGGCCATCCTAGAGCGACCTATAATTGGCTATTTATTTTGTCTCTAAAGGGGCCTAGTTAATTAA